AAAAAATATATGATAAATAGTGGTGACCTAACTTTATTAATCGGCACAATGTTTAGTAATCGTGCGATTGAATACCTTCAATCGGACACACTCAAAAACGCAAGAATCGAAGTGTATTGGTGTGTGGTCTTTTGCCGATATATGTCTGTGTGCGTGTGTGTGTGTGTGTGTGTGTATGTGTGCGTGTGTGTGCGTGTGTGTATGTGTGCGTGTGTGTGTGTGTGTGTGTGTGTGTGTGTGTGTGTGTGTGTGTGTGTGTGTGTGTGTGTGTGTGTGTGTGTGCGTACGTGTGTGTGTCAGGGCAAGGTGCCTGGGTGCACGCCAGTCGCGGTCGCTCTGTGCGTTTTATGCAACGCAGTAGTCGCACCGTTGCGTATCAGAGCGCCTTGCCATCATCCGCTTGCTCACTCATTCCCCCCCCGGGGCCTTTTTTTCCGCCCCTACTACATTCCTCAGGTGTTCAAGGACTTCCGGCACCAGTTTACGCAGGTGGTGGTGAACCAAGACATGAGCCAGACATACCACCGTGTCGTGCAAACCATTCGCCGCCAGAGCAAGGAGCCATACTGGGCTGCGGCCAAGGACCAGGCACAACTCGCCTCTTTTGTCGCCTAGCAGGCGTGTGTCTGTGTGTCTGTGTGTCTGTGTGTGCGCGCACGCGTGCGTCTGCGTTTGCGTCTGTCTCTGTTTTTCCGTGCACATACGCTCGTTGGATGTTGTTGTTGTTGCTGCTGCTGTCTCTCTGCACTCGCTGCTCTCTTATCTCATTCTCGATCCGTTGTTTCATGTGACTGGCAATGTGATGTGTTCTTGGTTCCCATTAGCGTCAGCCACATGCCTGTCGAACTTGTCTGCTTGTTCCTTCCCCCGTGCTGCTCGCTTCGTTGATGGGACTTGTTCATCAGAAAGACCAATAACACACCGTTCACCGTTCCCCAACGCAACTGCAAGACCACTGCACCCAACATGGCTCTGTCGCAAGTGGCTCAGCAGCTCTTCAGCTGAATCTGGCGTTGGTACGAGATTTGAGTTGCGTGTATTCACGTCGAAGAGAAAACGAGACACCTCACCAGATGTACGCATGGTATCGCAAAGGAGGAGCGGGCGTTTGAACATGTCCAAGCCGAAAAAAGGGAGGATGGAGTGGCGTGATGTGAAATGCAAAGTGATGTGACATGTGACATGACACAATAAGCGCTGTCACGAGCGAATATGATAAAGTCCGAGCTAGCCGATTCTACTTAGGGTCCTGGGGTGGGTGAACAAACATATGCACGTGAAAGAGTGAGCCAGCATGGCGCAGAAGCAACTCACACAAGACAGACACACCCAAGAGAACAGAAAGAAGAAGTTGGAAAACAGATGAACTGAGAAAGAAAAGAGTCAAGTTTGTTGAGGGTGTAGCCACCCCAGCTCCCGAGGCCCACTCGCCACTCACAAGGAGCAAGAGCGCCAGCCAAAGATAGAGCAAAAGGGGCATCTGTCTGGTCCGGGTGAAATGTGGCCGACCCAGGGGGTCCGCGCCCCCCAAAAAGGGGGACGCTTTAAGGTGACCATTTGGAAATCGGACGTGCAGTGCAGCGAAGACGGCACGGAAAAAGGTTGGTGTTGGGGGGGGGGCGAAGCAACAATGACAGGTTGATACTTGTTTGGGGAAGAAGAAGAAAGGAAGAAAGAGCTGAGACGAAGGCCACGCCCTCAACTGCGCGGAACAGAGGAGACAGCACACAACGACATGGCCACGGACACCGTACCTGGTATTGATTGTTTAAATGTAAGCAGCCGTGCATGTTGTCACTGGTTGGCAAGCTTGGCACCTGCCAGCACTGCAGTCTGTGCCAGGTACTGGCTGCCGATGATCATGCAGTCTTCGTTAAAGTCCCACTTGGCGGTGTGGGCGGAGTAGTTTGGCTCGCCGGGGAAGCCCGCGCCATAGCGCACAAAGAACCCGGGCACGTGCTGCAGGTACTCTGCAAAGTCCTCGCCGCCAAGGTTGGCCTTGGGCAGCGGGCGAACCGAGGCGTCCTCCCCACACCCCGCAGTCGCAGCGCGTGCCGCGTCCTGCGCCAGCGGGTACAGGCTGGACGTGTTGATGACGGGCGGGACGCTGTCACGGAAGGCGACGTCGACTGTGCCGCCGTATCCGTGGGCAACAGACTCAGCAAGGCGGCGAACGCGCTCGCGAATGGCATCCCGCGTCTCCACGCGTGTGGCGCGGATGGTGCCCAGGAGGTGCGCGCTGCCGGCCACAATGTTGAAGGCCGTGCCCGCAGTCATCTTGCCAATGGTGACGACCGCCGGCTCTGAGGGGTCCACGGCGCGCGCCACAATGTGCTGCAGCTTCATCACAAAGGAGCTGGCCATGACAATCGTGTCGACGCCCTCGTGCGGGCGGGCGGCGTGGCACGACTTGCCCGTGAAGGTGATGTCGATGAGGTCTGCACTGGCGTTGACGCAGCCGTCGTGCACAATAATGGTGCCCACGGGATATGACCGGTCAATGTGCCCGCCAAAGATGGCTGCAACATCCTCCAGCACCCCCGCTGCAACCATAGCCTTGGCGCCAGCCACTGCGCATTGAGCGAGAAGAATGGTGTTGGCAGAGCATCAAAGGCAAAGGCGTGGGTGAGCACAAAGTGATGAGGATGATGAGGAGGCAATGGAAGGAAGGAAGGAGGAGTCGGGAGGAGTAGGTATAGCCACCCAAAGACGCCACTCACAATCATCATTCAGTGATGCTTACGAACGGACGACAAGCTGGAACACACGAAGCAGAACAACCAACAAAACTTACAAGCACACACTCACGCACTCACGTTCATCGGTACCGTTTTCTTCGGCGGGTTGGAAGACAAGGCGAACAGGGAGCTTGGGCTTGTTGCCGGCCTTGACCTGGCTCAGCAGAATGGCGGCAGCGCCGAGGAGCATGCTGGTGTGGCCGTCGTGACCGCACGCGTGCATGACACCGGGAATCTTGGACGCAAAGGGCAAGCCTGTTTCCTCCGTGACTGGAAGCGCGTCCAGGTCGGCCCGCAGCGCCACAAATGGCTTGTCTACTTGCCCGGGAATGTCAGCCACCACGCCGTACTGTGCCATGCGCCGAGGCTTGAGCCCAAGCTGCTCCAGCAAGGAGAACACAAAGCTGCTCGTTTTCTCCTCATGCAGCGAGAGTTCCGGATACTGGTGCAGATGGCGCCGAACACCGGTGATCCACTTTGTCACGGCATCCAAGTCGCTGCCGTCGCCCTCCAGCACAAAGGCGCTGGCATCAGCCGCAGTGGTGGTGGCGTCGTCGCTCATCCTGCGCGTCGGTGCCGACGCTGCTTGTGGAGTGAATCGATGCTCGATGTAAGTGTCACTCGACCGCAGCTGGCGGTCAGAGCTCAGCCACGTCCTCTGTGCTGATGGCACGCACCAACGCCAGCCTGCGCGGAGCGTGCTCAACCGCTGAACCGCAGCCACCACCGCCAGAGCGACGAGTGAGACGTGGCGGTGTTTGAGGGGGAAGGAGGGGGAAGGGAGGAAGGAAAGAATGAAGCAGCCGAGCACGCGCGTGGCTGGGCAGCGGCGAGAAGAAAAGTGGTGGGCGGCGTGCGTGAGGAAAATGAATGGAAGATGTTGGTAAATCGTCACAACTTGCCTTGAGCGGACATCGCTGAGGAGGATGACGATGACGATGGGTGGAGAGGATGTTGTGGCGCGAGTGACGGTGCTGAGTGCAGAGCTGTGCCGTTCGAGCCAGCAAGGGTGGAAGGCAAGCGGCGAGCTCTTGGATGAGATCTCAACCACGCTTGTGGACATTCACAACCGTCAAAGCGTCTTTGAATGGCATCGCTCATCCTACACCGTGGCAGGTTTGTGAACATGTGTTGTGTTGTGAGTTTGTGTGTGTTTGTGTGTCGTGTGTATGTGTGTGCGTTTGTGCGTCGGGTCGTATTGTGTGCGTGTGTGTGTATGTATGTGCGTGTATGTACGTGTGAGTGAAAGAAAGTGTTGTGAGTCAGTGAATGAGAGTGTGAGTTTTGTGCGAGGGATCTTGTTGTTGCGTCAAAACCAACGCGATGTTGCACAAGTGTAGCTGCGTCGTGTCCTTCGTAGAAGCCCACACGCTTTCCCACCACACCACACACACACACACACACACACACACACACACACACACACACACACACACACACACACACAGCTGCGCTGCTGGACCACGTCTTGCCGCAATGGACAGATCGTGACCGCCTAAGCGCGCGCGACTTTCTCGATGAGTTTTGCACAAAGACCCTGGCGCCATCGGCCATGCTGATGTGCGCCCGACACCGTCTCACTTCAACCACGTATGAGAACCAGAGACTGTTTGCGCGGTTGTGCGGAACGCATCTCACACGTTGCACTGTGTGACGTGTGCGCATGCCTGCTCATCACCGAAGATCACTTCTCATCTCACTCCTGCGCATAATCCTGTGCACACTCATGGGCCCCACTCATGCGCTCACACACACACACACACACACACTTGCGAATACACAACCATACTTTTGCAGACACTCTGCTGCACTGGCGACCATCTATCGGGCATGGAAAACATGCTGCACGATATCCTTCAATGGTGTCTGGTAAGCGTGTTTCCACTCGCCACATGGTTGTATTCAACACACGCGTGCTTGTCTCTGTTTGCACTTATGCGGCCCCGTGTGTCTGATTGCGCGTCATCTATGACAACAGTACACTGTATCCACCATCACGAGTCAACCGCTTTGTATGCTGCACGACCATAGGCTGTCAGTGCAGGGAACTTGAGCCTTTTTGAGGATGATTTAGCCACAGCGCTTGTCACGTTCCCAGACGCCTTTCTCAACTGTTTTCATGCCCAAGCACAGCAGCAAACCCCGCGCCAACAGCTCAGGTCAGCTTGAAAACCGATATCCGTGTGTATCCAGGAACACACACTGCATATTGACACCGTGTTCTGCGGTCTTCCTCATGCGTTTATTTGATCTCAACCATGG